AAGATCAATTTACTCTTGCAGAAAGTACTCCTATTTATGTTCATAATCTACATTTTCTACCAACTTTGACTGTGCACAGGGTCACATTAACAAAATTAATCTTACTTCAGTCTCCTTTGCTCACTTTGTCCCTAGTATTTTAGTACAATCAACACCCTCCTCCCTTAAGTGTTTCTCGGAGGGATCTGGGGTGCTTCACATGTATTTACACATGTGGTCTGTGGGGTTTGGTAACTATTTCTTTGGTTGTTGGTGCTGTTTTGTCTTTGGAGAAGTCTACAATTACTGCTTACCTGGCCAGGACCTGCGATTTTCCTTGGCCCCTGAGGTGGCTATCCTGACTCTGTCAGGAGCTTCAGTCTCTCATTAAAGGCTGTGCCATGGTGTGTGTGTGCAGAGTGATTCCTCCTGAGAACCGAGAGTTTTTGCTGAGTTGTATTCCTTATTCTCAGATACTTTATCCCCAGGTTAATCTCTCCTACTTTTGCGCACATGGATATCTGCTGTTCACCTCTGTAGCTTGAGCCTGGGGACCCCAGCTATGTGTTTGTTTGTTTTCTTTTTCTTTTTTTGTTTTTGTTTTTTTAAATCAGTAACCTTTACCTTTTAGCACCTCTCGGATGCGCTGTGTCATCCATCCAATGATCAAGCTAAGTACTCACCTCATCCCATGTGATTCCCATTAAGATCTTAAGACTCTGGCAAGTAAGTTTTCATAACATTCAGTGTGCTCATAGGTGATTTTTAGATTATAAGACTTGCTTTTCAGACTAGTGCAAACATGTAGACACAGCACAGAATCATGAAGAGTATTCTAGAAATCAGAAAATCTGATGGCTACTCTTAAATCATCATAAACTGTCCAGAAAGTTTTATTCATTCATTCTATAGTATTTTTTCATAAATTTCTAGTCATCTTACAAGGTATTGTCAGGATAAAAATAAGTGATGTATGCCATGATCCTTAGCCCTGGTTGTGCACTAGTCTAGGAGTCATTCATTACCTGTTTTTGTAAATAAAGTTTATTGGTACATTCCCAACTACATTGATTTATGTATTGTCTATAGCACATAAAGTCTAGTATGTTTCCTATCTGTTTCCAAACAGAAAAATGCATTAGATTCATCCTGCACATTTCAAAAGTCACTTCCTTTGTTCCATCGTGGACAAATCAATATTTAGAGTAGGACTTGGGAGTTGGCACAGGAGAGAGTGTTTGTATTTATTTTAAACTTCCAACTGATGCATTAGTACAGTATTATACATATTAATGGGATATCAAGTAATACTTATTTCAATACATGAATACATTATGTAATACTTAAATCAGGTCAAATGTATTTACATCCATAAATAGTTATCATAGTAGTGAAAATTTTCAAAATAATTTCCAGATTTTTGAAAGTTCATTACTGTCACCAGTCACCCTCCAGAAACAACACACCAAAAGTCCTTCCCCTATCTGACTAGAGCCCTTTGGTCAACATTTTTCTATTCCCCACTGTCACCTGGTAACTGCCTTATACTCTAAACTCTGAGGTGACTGCTTCTAGATTCCACGTGAGTGAGACATACATGTGGATTTGTCTTTTTGTGCTTGAGTGTTTTCATCTGCCTTGGGATCTCCAGTCCGTCCATGTTGCTGCAGCCATAGGACTTAATTTGCTTTTATGGCTGGACAGTCTTCCATCATGTACCTATGGCCTTCTCTTTATCCAGGCATCAGTTGCTAGGCACTAAGTTGCTTTTCATTTCTTGGCTATTGTGAGTAGTAATGCAATGGATCTGGGAGTGTACATGCATTTTTAACATACTGATTTCATTTCCTTTAGTTAGATACCTCATAGTGGTATATTGCTAGATCCTATGAGGGTTGTTTGTAATTATTTTCAGGGAATTCCATATCCTTTTCCAAAATGGCTGTGCTAATTACATTCCATTAACACTGTGTTATAAATCTCTTAACCCCATGTCCTCACCAACACTCATGATCTTTAGTTTTGGGGTAATGGCCTTCTCACTGGGGTGGGGTTGTGTCAGTGTGATGTTAAGCCTTTTCCCCCCATACTTGTTGGCTATTTGTCTGATTTATGTTGAGAAATGTCTGTTTAGATCTATTACTCATTTCGAAACTGTGTTATTGGGTTTTATTGCTTTGGGAATTTGCACATTCGTGAATATTCTAGATATCAACCCCTCCCTGTCAGAGGCAGAGCTTGCAATAGAGTTCCCCTACATTATAGATGGACGCAACACCCTGGTGATGCCTTCATTTTCTCTGCTGAAGCTTTTTAGTTTGTTTAGTAGCATTTGTCTTCTATTGCTTGTGCTTATGAGGTCTTCTCCACAGCGGCCTTGCCAGCTCCAATGTCCTGAAGTCTTCCCTCCATGTACTTTTCTGGTAGTTTCTTAGCTTCAGGTCTTACATCTAAGTCTTTGTTTTTGTCACTAGTGAAAGTGGCATTCAGTTTCATTCTTCTACATATGGGTTTCCAGTCTTTATAGCAGCATGTATTAGAAAGACTTGCTTGCTTACCCCAGTGAGTCCTCTGATTATCTTTGTCAAAAATTAGCTAGCTATGGGGCTGGATAGATGGCTCAGCAGTTAAGGACACTGGTTGTTCTTGCAGAAGACCTGGGTTTGAATCCCAGCACCCACGTGGCAGCTAACAACTATCTGTAACTCTAGTCCCAGGGGATCTGACAGCCTCTTCTGACCATGGGCATTACACGACACAGGTGCACTTAACTACATGCAGCCAATACACCCATACACATAAAATAAAAAAAAAATGAAAATAAATTAGCTACACATGCTTGGGTTTTCTTCTAGGCTCTCTGTTCAGTTGCTTTGTATTTCTGTTTTAATGGCAATACCATCCTGTTTGGATTAGTACAGCTTTTTCCATGTTTTGAAGCTAGGTGTTAGAATTGTTTGCTATGCTCAAGAAGACTTTGTGGTTCCATACAAATTGTAGAAAAATTTTTTTCAAGTTAAAAACTAATGTTTTTAGAGATAAATATGACAGACATCATAGTTTATGGGCATGCAGGGATCTCGGGGCGCCAGCTGCTGGGCGTGGCGCCGGTCTCCTGCGTGCACCTGGGGTGCGGCGTCCCGCACCGGGTTGCCGTGGGTCTCTGCTACCGGAGCTGGCAGCTCTAGGACCGCTGTCAGCTGCCTGGTTGGGTTCCGTTTTAATTTCCACCATGCACTCTCCCTCTAAATTCGCCTGTTGGCCACCAGGTCACGGGGGGAGGTGCGAGAAACGGCGAAAGCAGGGTCTTCGTGAGTCGATGACGGAAGGATAGCACCTCCCGGGGAGGCTGGATCGTAGGCAGTAAGACACAGGACTCAGCTCAGTCAGTGGTACAGCCCTTTTATTAAGTAACTCATCTCGGCTCCAAGTCTCGGTGATCCAGCTCCGATTAATTGGGGGAAACGAGGATATTTTATACTGTGGGGGTAGTGGGAAAAGCCTTAGCTGATAGGTACTTTTAGGATGCCTCATTTACAGAGGGCAGTGGGCTTCTATCAGGCGATCAGACAATGCCTGATTAAAACCTGTTAGCTCCTGTGCCGGAGGGCATGTATCTTGTGATGGGCATTTCAAAAGTAAGTCAGGGAGGAGAGCAGAAGGCACCCCACTGAGAAGAGGAGTCTCCCCATTTGCGCCGAGCCAGCTTGTGGCTATCCGGACTTGGGGAGACTGCTACCCTAAACAGCGGGGTCCCCAACAATAGTTAAGAAATACAAATAATAATTCATGCCTTCTGGAAATATTGAGAAAAAGAAGCTTACAAATGACTCGAAACAGAACAGATGCATTTGTAATGAAAAATAAGCCCTCTGGGAGCACTGCACAGGGAGCCTTAGAGGGGACTAGAGGAGTTTTCACAGCCGGAGTGCTTAAAAGTTTCTTGAAAGGTAAACATACTGGTAGACAAGGATCTTTGCCGTGGGGCCGGGAGAGAAGGAGAAGCAGTTGAGAGCAGAGAGAACAGTGCATGCTGTGGTCGGAGGTGGAAGAACAGGGCCCATTCCAACAATGTCAGCCCTAAGTAGACAGAGCCATGCAAGGAGCAGAGAGAAAGGCTGTAGCATACAGAGCTGCAGAAGAGGAGATCAATATGGGGGGAACTCTGTGCTGAAATGATTTGGAGTATGTTGTATTCGCTTGTGGCATCAGATAGAAAACCTATGTTTTAGAACTACAGGGTTCCCGAGTCATCTGAGCTAACCCAGTGGTAATCAGCTGCCAGTAATTCTTTGATTAAGATTGGGGCCTGGTGCTCATTTCCCTAGTTCTATGCTGGATTTTGTCTGCTTGAGTTTGCATGGGTCTTGTGCATGCTGATACTATTGCTACAGGTTCATGATCAGGGTCCCAGGAGCCTGTAAGACTCTATTTCCGTATGATCATGCACCTCCTCCCTGGTTCTTACAATCTTTCTGCCCCCTCTTCCACGATGGTCCCTGAGCCCTGGGTGGGTAGAGTTTAATATAGGAGTCCTATCCAAGGACCCACATTTTGCAGACTCTTGTTTTTAGATTAAGTCGTCCAACTTCTGTGTAAAGTAAATACTTAACCTCTTTGAGGACCTCCCAGTGTATGGAGAATATCCAGTAAACAAAACTATCATTTGGAAGGCTCAGTGGTTGAGAAGATTCCATGATGCTAAGGCAGCCCAAATTGCACTTTCTGATTCATTTTATCAAACTCAAGTGGATGAATGCACTGAAGATTTCAAGAGATATTTATAATGATGCAAATGAAAACTGACAGACCTATTTGAAACTGTAGTAAGAACTGTTGATAAAAGCTCATATGGTTTCTGTCTTTAGAACCTCAAACATTCTTCTTAAAAGAGATATTTTGAATACTTTTTACAAATGCTATTCAATTAGTGCCTATTCCTCTCTTAGTGCCAAAGGAAATCATAGAGAAATTCTAGCATGTTGTCCATCATTGACCTGTGCCCTGCTTTTCCTTTCTAGATATTGATGAGTGTGCTGAAGGGCGCCATTACTGTCGCGAGAATACCATGTGTGTGAATACCCCTGGATCGTTCATGTGCATTTGCAAAACTGGATACATCAGAATCGATGACTATTCGTGTACAGGTAAATGATCTGTTTAAAACTGAGCATTTCTGTGTCAAATTCATTGTTCAGTTTCCTTTTTCTCTGCGTTTCTAAGTGTATCATAAATGGTCACTTATAACAACACAGGTGAAATTGTCACATCTTGATCTAGTACTTAATTCTGAATCTGGTTAAAGGACAGAATACCTGGTACTTCAAGACCTTAACCTGGAGAGCCATAAACTAATGTTTCCTCACTCCAGACAGGGCATCAGTAATACACTGAAGTTAATATTCCACCCAAGTCTCGCTTGGGGAACCAGGGATTCATGAGTAATGGATTATTTGCAATGTGTAGGTGGCACTCAAATAGAATTATTTGAAAAGTCTCACTCTATCATGGATGACGAACTCCTCATGGCTACATAGATGCCATCCTCCTCCAGTTAATACATTCTGTATATGTAGCACCGACTGAGACCAGCTGTATGTAACTCTGCATCTAGAGAAAAATTACGTGGAGCTGGAAGGGAGGTGTAGGAAGGAGAGGCCAGACTCATAGGCGAGGGTCTAACAGCCCTCCTTACCTGCTCTTCTGAGGGAGCCTCAAAAGTCCCAGTCTTGAGCATCTATTGTGAGTAACACAACTGCTCTGAGCAACATGGTAACGGACAACATTCTACAATGCTGCAACTTCCAACTCCTACATTCTTTGGGCTCTTTCTTCCATGATGCTCTGTGAGCCTTGGGAGGGGTTATAGGATGTTTGGTCATTCCCTTCTGTTTGTAGTTCTCTATACTGTAACCACAGTTACACATTCTTCAGCAGCATGATCAAATATAAATGTCGACATTAACTACCGATCACTATGGAAAGAAGCTTCCCTGACCGACAGCAGAAATGATCTTAAAGACATAAATATTGAAAAATTGATTTGATAGGATTGTCACATTCATTTAGCAAAAAACAGCCATGGACTTTTCCTGGGCTTACACTACAGGATGTAAGTGTCTTCCTGTGTAGTGGGCCTCAAATCCAGGTGAGAATGGTTGGTTACACCAATTATAGTCATGCTGCTATAATACCAGATGGAACAACTTGCCTGCTATGTTGACAGTGTGGCCTTCAGAGTCTTCCAACAAATAGGATCCATTGGCGATAATTCTCTCCCAGAAGCCCAGATAGTGACTTCCTGTATTACATAAGCTAACCACCAAAGAGAAATTTCCAGTTCGATCTAGCTTGATGTTCCCAAGTCCTGCAACCCAAATGTGCAATGTCTTCAACAGTATGGTCTTACCTTCTCCCTTCTCTTTTGGGGAGAAAACCAACAGCCATGACAATCACCTGCATTGTTCTGTGAGCCTTGGGGTGGTCTCCTTGGCCAGAAATTGGTCGAGAGGTAGCCCATCCCTGACCTTGGGATTTTATGGCTTCTGAGTACATATTTTCCACCCACACAGGGCACCTTTCTTCAGTCTTTAGCTATTGTTTTAGCATGTACAATCAGGCTATTTTTCGCATTCACTTGTGTATGTGTCTGCACCTTACCCAATCGTAACGTTCCAAAGAGTTTTCTGGCTTTGGCCTCCCCTCGTACAGTGTGAACTCACTTCCCGGTCTTACTCCTTTAAACGTGTTGCATGTCTTTGATAAGCTTTCCTAAATCTGCAAAACACTCAGAGTTTATGACTTTATCATCTATGTAATGATTTCAGATCACTGAAGGTCCATTGCCATCCATTCCAGGGAAGCACGAGTTGGTCTCAGGAATAAGCAGATACACTGTGTAAATCCTTAGCAGTTCAGTCTGTATGAGCTGTCTCACCTTTGCACCCTGGGGTGCCACAAGAAACAACTGCCCATCTCAGTAGAGATGGCTCAGCTCTGCCTGCTCTGGCCTGGGGCCAATGCAGAGCAGATTTGTGCTCTTGCCTGTAGTGAATTCACAGACTCAGGATCTGACAGTCTCCTGTCCAGTTTAAGAGCAAGATGCAGTCTCCTCTACAAGGTTGCAGGGCTGGGTAAACTGTTCACCCAAGGAAGAAATGTACACCATGTGCTCTTGAGAGATATTCCCCACCCCTTGGTCGAGCTTAATCCTTCTCACCCCCATTAGTCTGTCTCAGTATGCAACAGCTGACACCCCTTGCCTTTGATGTTCCTGGGGGATATCAGCCAGCATCCACCCAACTACAAATATTCTGCATATCAGTTTGGGACAATAAATTAGCAGTTCAGTGTGGAGCCTCCAGTCACATGGATGGTCCTCACCTGCAAGCAACCAGCCAACCCTATTAGGGAAAGGGCTGTTGTGGTCACATCCCGCAAGGGCTCCTTCTTCCACAGCAGCTGACACAGGAGGGCTCAGCTTATTGTCTACCCATTTGGTGATCTTCATTCAGTCTCTAAACCCTTCCAGAGGTTCGCAAACACGGCATATGGTTTTCTGCCAGTTTTTTTCCCTCAGAAACAGGGCTCAACATAAATCTTGCTATTTGCTTTGAGTGACCTGTAAAGACCTCTTTTCCTGCTTTTCTTCTTCTTATCCTTTCTTGATTACTTTAGCATTTTACAAACCCAGTCTTTAGGCCATGCTGATCTAAGTCACCCACATCCTCCACAGCCTCTCCTTCCTCATAAAAATCATGTTCAGTCATAATCTCGGCAAAACCACAAAAGCCCCGTTCTGGTCCTGAGGTCCTTCCTGACACTTTAACTTTGTTCTTAGCTCTGAAGTGAACATGTTCCTGTCTAGCCTGGTGAGCTGGGCATATACCAACTCCCAGGCTCAATTCCTTTCCTATCATTCTACCTCATTTTCTCTCTCCCCATGGTGAGAGTCTTCTGTGGGTTCCAACTCTTTGGACTCCAGGAGGGACTCATTATCACAGATCTAATTTATATTCTCTTTTCCTTCAGTCCTCAGCCTTAAGGAACGGCAAGCCAGCATCTCCACCTTTGATTTTCATCTTTTCCTTCAGGTCAGAGGCTAGTGTGGAGAATAGCATTTGTATGTATTTTGGCTTGCAACTCCTTCTTTATTTGGGCACAGACAGCTTAGCTGCGGTTGCATGCCTTACCCCCCACCCCCAGCAGAGGCCATGCAACTTCTGACACAGCTCCCTTACAGTCCTGTTCCATAAGCACTACTTTCTGACTGCGATACACTGTGGTCCATCAGTGATTCTCGGGATGCCCCTGCATTCCTTTGGTTGGTCATATTTATCAAATAGGCACAGAAGAAGACAGCCTCATTAGGATTTCTCCCACATACTTTCCCTCCCAAGTTTCCCTCTGGGCAGACAATTAAGCATCATTTTCATAGCTTGTCATCCACAGCGGGGACACCATAGCTGCTAGTACAATGAGAAGGATCCCATCTCCCGTCCCATACGATACGGAGGACAGTCACATGGGGACTGCCCTACAGATGCTCCAGCCTCAGGTAGCTTGGCTTCAGTTACGTCTCATCGCTCGTAGTAGGAATGCCTAGCTGCTTCTCCAAGGTCACCTTTGGTTCTGCTGTACTCCTCCTTGGCACCAAATGTTGCATAAACTTTTAATGGGAGACACAAACAAATGCCCACTCACCCCAGGTAGAACTAACAGGAGAATGAAGTAATGATTCCATCCAAGTCTAGCTTGGGGAATCACTTATTGTATTGGGCCCACTTACAGGAACATGGAGAAGCCTTGCTTATGGGAGTGTGATTGGCCCCCAGCAGCCATATCACTGAACACTATCACTCCAGTATGGATGAAAACTTCCCCATGGCTGTGTAGGTGAAGTCTCAATGAACGCTTCGCACTCTGTACACTCCAGTACCTCTTCAGATCACATACATCTGGGAGAAAATTACATCCAACTGGAAGGGAGTCCATGATGCCCTCTAGGCCCTCCTGTGAAGGAACCTCGATGGGCCCAGCCTTAAAGTCTCTTGTGGATGATCGCTGCTCTGATCACGGTGGGCATGGCTGCAGTGCTCAGAGGACAGCATTCCGTAACTCCTGGTTGCTCTGAGAACTTTCATACTCCTTGCTAGGTAGAGAAATAAAAACTGAAGAGCCAAGTCAAGATTATAACGTGGATGCTCAAGCCTTGTTTGTGCTCAAGCCTTGTGTGAGTCACCAAGCCGCTTGAAGAGAAAGCCCCGAATGATACTTCTTTTATGTGTTAAGGAATCTTTGAATAGAAGAACAATTACACAAAAACTGTGATGTTTTCAGAAGTGGTTCTTGAATCTCTAGGAGGCAGAAATATGAAAGGAAATTGGGGTTCTTTAGAACTTGGTGAAGTGCAGTTGAGCACCGTTTTCCTTTCTTTTGTTGTTTTATGAAATCCTACTCTCTTCAGGACCACGCACAGCCCCTTTCATGGATATCCTGAGTGTCGAGAATGTCTGATGCTGGTTCTCTGCACGTGTATAGGAAAATAAATGGTGCAAGATTAGCTTAACCACCGCGGGATTGGGGGAACTGTGGGCATAAAACAAGACGCTCCTTTGGATTCTACTCTTTTTTAATTAGATCAGGCATAAAAATAAAAATATCGAGGATCATGGAATTAGAGAGCACCTAAGCGTGTTGTTTCTGTCATTTTTCATTAAATCCCCCTAGTTTATATTCTCTGTCAGAGAGAATGAGGCTACAGATAATACATAGAGTTTCCAGGGAGGAGAATCTACCACAGTTACTGGCAAATGTATAAATCTACAAAGTGTCCTTCCATGTGTTTGTATTATTTGTGTGCCCAAGTCTTCACTACAGTGCCTCTACTGTGTGCAAAATGACATTCCACCTATCGGAGCAGAGGGAGGGGTCATCCTTCAAATCAAACACATCGCTTACGTAAAAACAAAACGATGACATTGCAAAATAATGACAAGTGGCTTCCCCGCATACAAACTATAATCAAATATATCTTATAGGTGGAAAAGACGTTTAACACAAAGGTGCCAGGGTGGTGAATCTCTACAGGTTGTCAGGTCACCCTAAACCGTTCCACATTATGGGGACATTTCCCTTTTTCCTTTAG